ATTGTTGCACACAAACAAGTTGTTTGGACTTTATGGCTTCAGCCTTACTTTTATTCTAGACTCTTCGGTTTTCACATCTCTGTTCCTTGTTTTCACCTTTATATACTGTCTAAAATAAGTATTTGAGTTTCTTTTTCTCTGGGTCTGGGGTTTTGCAATAACAGTTAGTGGCAGGGATGCAGTTTTCTATCTAATTGCAGAAGAAAATCCAAAACAACAAATTTGCAAGTGATATCATGCTCAGTAACGTCAGCACGGGGTGGACTGGAGTTGACATGTCCAGCCCAGCTTTCCCAGAGGTCGGGTTGCTAACTTCTCGAAATCCGTTGAAAAACTTTCGACGCAGGGGGTGGCTGAATATGTCGGTATTGATTTTTTCGTTCTTGCAAAAAAAATGCTGTTTGAGAAAGTAAGTTTTTCGAAAATTTCGACACAGATAAAAAAAAGTAAAAAAGATTTTCCCACGTGTTCTGAGAGTCTGATGGGCGTGGTCGAGAATTTTCTTTTGGCTTACCCAGTTTTTTAGGCCGGCGACGCCAGTGTTCATGCTAAGATCTCTTGCAGAAACTATATACATTTAGTGAAAATCACCTTCAGATTTATGCTTGGTTCATTTAGGTCTTTTTAGCAAAGGCATAAGAAGGGCAATGTATAGAGACACCCTTTTGAGGGTGATATTGTGATTTTGCAGCATTTTAGCCATATTTCAGTTGTCATAATGCAAAAGACACATTTCCAGTGACGATAAAGACAAAACCAGTGACGAATTATTTATCCATTCCTTGTATTTTATTGTACCTCTTCTTAATTTTTGACTCAGTTTTGAGACTCTTGTTTTCATCAAACACTTTGTATAAAAAGAGTCCTTTTTTTCCTTTAACAAAAGTTCTGTTAGCTACATATCCGCTTCTGCTTTTGCACAGTTCCTGGACACTGGAAAGTGCACAATTGTTTCGAGATTTGCACACGGCCCCTGTCAATGAGTAATTGTAAAGTTGGACCGTTAAGATGTCAACATCTTTTATGATGATATAAATTGAGATTGATAGGAGGCTTGCAAGCAATGATATCATTGCTTCAATGTAACAAATAACAGATATGCTGTCATTGGTTAAGTTCGAAATACCTGTCATTGATGAAAAAAACTTGGCAATACGCTTTGCTCCAAGTACTGATGTTTTGGGATATTTCTAGAATGTCCAGAATTTCGTTAGTTTTTGCAAGTTGTTTATGATTAGATATTTACTCCTATCAATATTTTCCAATATTTATAACGATGGACCTTAACCTTAAGTTCTCAGAGGGAAATAGTGTGATAGCTGCCAATAATAGGTACACATTTCTATCCAGGCCCGTCGGAACCGGGGGGGGGGGGCTGGGGGGGCTGG